TCCACTTTATTATCGCTTTCTGGCCCACGTGTGATAACGTCCTTTCTTTCTACACATTCTTCCCCCTTTCTCTCCCATACTGACTTCCTTCCCATTGAGTAACAGTTTGGAATTTAATTTTGTTGACTTCCTGTAATCATATTTACTTTTTGAAGCTTGTCCTCTTTTCTATTAAATAACATCTTCACATTAAATAATATTCTAACTTGCTCTATCTGAATTTTGTAGAATCTCATTATCTTTAGGTATATAATTGCTTTCCTCGTATGTGCTTTTCTTCTTTCTTCTTTCTTATGCTATTTTGATCATCCAGTCCTTCCCTCTTTCAACCAATCTGCTAGGATACCCATATCTTTTCCGTTCTTTATTTCTGATCAGAAGGTAAAATCTATTTTAGCTATTTTGCCCCATCTTCTTTCCAAATATTTCATTACTGGTTCCCACTCTTCATTCAGTTTGTCTATTGATTTAAGTTTTAAGCTTTGTGTTAGTCTATCCATTTCCATGGCATCATACAGTTTCAATAACCACTCTTTTTTGCTGGGTATAATGCCAATTTTTCATTTCTGAGCGTAAAGAATTCTTGCTGTTGTGGTCATGTAGAAACATATTTTTCCATGTTTTTTCTTTGTTTCTACATCAAACATGCTGTTAACAGATAAAATTCTGGTTTTGTATGTATTTTCATATTTAAAATTCTACTAATTGATTCCTTTATACAGTCCCAATATTTTCTTGCTTTTCTACATGTCCATCAACAGTGATAAAATGTTCCTGGTTTTTCTTTACATTTCCAGCATACATTATTTGTATTTTTATATATTTTAGAAATTTTAACTGGTGTAATATACCATCTTAAGTACATTTTATAAAATTTTTCCTTCAGATCCTGTGAACACGTATATTTAACCACTTTGATCCAGATTGTCTCCCAGCTACTTAGTTCGATTGCATGTCCAAAATCCCTCATCCATCTATTTCTTCCTTTATCGTTTCATCTTCTAAGTCTAAACTCAGTAAGATTTTATAAATGTTTCCAATCATTTTGCCTTTTCCATGGATTAAAATTTTATCCAAATCTGTTTCTTTTTCCTCAAAATCTTATGTTTTACTGTCTATCTTGTATCGCTCTTTGATTTGGAAATATGTGAACCAATGCATCGTATTCCCTTCTTTTATTATTTCCTCTTGGGTTTTTAACTGCCATTTTCCTGCCCTTTGTCTGATTAGAGATTTATATCTTAACCAATTGATATCTGTAATTGTTTCTCTTCTGTGAAATGCTTGTTGAGGTGAAATCCACTGAGGCAGTTTCCTATATATTTTCTTTTATATTTTTTCCAGATTCGTAACAGGGATCTTCTTACACAATGGTTACTAAAACTTTTATTAATTCTTTCTTTTTCATATTGTAAATATGCGTGCCATCCATACGTTAGGTTGTCCCCTTCTAACTCTAACAGTCTGTTGGGCCTTTACAGACTGCCAGAAATAATGCAGCTTGAGTCCACTTTAACTGCTCTGGTCCAGTGCTAGGGAATCATGGGAATTGTAGTTTTTTCTGAGACATTGAGCCTTCTCTGTCAGAGAGTTCTGGTGCCACAATAAACTACAGTTCCCATGATTCCCTAACACTGAGCTAGGGCAGTTAAAGTGGACTCAAGCTGCATTATTTCTGGCATTCTGTAAAGACCCTGTTATCTTTTAAAATCACCCATTTCTTTACCCATGCAAGAGTGCATGCTTCAAAGTATAATTTGAGATTTGGAAGTCCCAAACCTCCTTTTTCTCTTGCGTCTTGCAGTACTTTTAATCTGATCCTTGGTTTTTTATCGGAAAGTTTTTCCATTAAAAGGGAATCCCATATTCTATGCCACCAGCCCTCCAGATTTAATTGGCTGGTTCCCACTTCTGAGCAATCTCTACTCTTGTAACAGCAATAAGAAATAATGTTAAATGTTTCTGATTAAGGTTTTTGTTACAATCAACAAAAATTGCCAAAAGTGCTAAAATAGGACACAAATAAATATTTTGATTAGTAATCAGAGATTGTAAAAAGAACCTGCTCCCAAAAGTTAAAATTTTTTGAGTACAATAAAACCACATATTGAGGTATGTTCCTCTATTTGAGCAATCTCTTCAACAAAAAGGAGAGGAGTTTTTCCTAAAATAAGTCAAGCAAACAGGGGTTATGTACCAGCAATGGATCAGTTTTAAGAAACATTCTTTAATGATAGGTTAAGCTTATTGATTGGTTGCTTTTTATTTTATTTTATTTTATTCTATTTTATTTTATTTTAATCCCTGGAATGGGACCCAAGGTGGCTCACAATTTTAATTAAAACAAGGTACATTGGGCCCTTGGTATCCACTGGGGGTTGGTTCCAGGACTCCCCATGGATACCAAAATCCGGGGAAGGTCATATCCCATTAAATACAGTGGTGTAGTAAAATGGTGTCTCTTATATAAAATGGCAAAATCAAGGTTTGCTTTTTGGAATTTATAGTTTTTGGAATATTTTCAAGACATGGATGGTTGAATCTGTGGATACACAATCCATGGATACGGGAGGCCAGCTGTACATGAACCAAGCGAGCCAATGTGGTGTGGTAGTGCGTGAGCACTGGACTGCAACTCTGGAGACCAGGGTTTGAATCTCTGTTCAGCCATAGAACCTTACTGGAAGTCACACTCTCTCAGCCTCAGAAGAAGGCAATGGCTTTTCCTCATATAGTCGCTGAAAGCTTGTTTAAATAAAAATAGATTTTAGCTGCAAATGGAAAGGGAATTGAAGGAAGAGCCTAGTTTCCTCTGGCAGAGAGTTCCACAGCCCAGGAGAAATGTCTCTCATGTGTCCTCACCAAATGTACCTATACAAGTGATGGGACTGAGAGAAAGACCTCTCCTATGGATCCTAACATTCAGGCAGGCTCATATATAGATGAGGTCTTTCACATGGTCTGGTCCTAAGCTGTACAAACTTTTTATAGGTCATAACCAACACTTTTTACTGCACCCAGAAAAGAACCGGTAGCCAGTGAAGCAGTTTCAACAGCGCACTTAGGTGTTTCTTGTTAGCAACTCCAGGCAGCGCTCTGACATTTTGGACCTGCTGCCGTTTTTGAACAGTTCCCAAAAGTAGCCACATGCACTGCATGTTACAGCAGTCCAAATGGGATGTAATAAAGATATGTGCCAATGTAGCTAGATCTGACTTCTCCAGGAGCAGGAACAGCTGGCACACTAGTCTTAACTGTTCAAATGCACTCCTCACCATCCCTGATACCTGGCATCTGGGGTCAAGTCTTTCCTGGAGTTAGATGGAAAGGCGAGATAGAGTTGAATGTCATCTGCATACTGTTGATACTGAAATCCAAAACTCAGGATTAGTTGTCTTAGGGATTTCATATGTTTGTCGAACAGCACATGGGACAAAACTGAGCCCCAAAGGAGTCCACAGGCTAACAGCCAAGGCGTCAAATAGAAAACCTCTGGGCTTACCCCTTCAGTAACACAGCTACTATAAAACAATGTCCCCAAATTCTGTCCCAGAGGAGGCTCAGAAAGATACCATAGTTGATAGTATCAAAAGCTGCTAAGAGGCCCAGCAATCCAAAAATGACTTTCTCCTCCTGGCCAGTTTTCAGTGTAGGTTATCCACTAGGGCAGTCAGTAACCAGACCTGAAGCCAGATTGAAATAAATCTAGAAAGTCCA